CGACTAAAAAAATTTAATAGCTTCACCTTTTCATTGACCAAAATCATGTTCATACTATTGACTTGACTTTTATTTTTAAACTTAGAAGAAAACCACAAACAAACGATTCAAACCATTATCCTCTAATCTACCTTTCCAGGTTGTATTTAAGAAAGCATTGAAATTGTAGGTACCATTAAGATCATTTGATCATCCATAACATATTCAGATGTAACATGCATGACCACCCATATTAATTCTTATTCATTCTATTGTTGCATGACCTTTTAAATACATAAACTTATTAATGACCTTTTAAATACATAAACTTATTAATTCTTATTCATTCATTCCATTATCCCTCATTAGTTAGGTATCAATTATCAGTTTCCAACAATAAAATTTAAAATAAAACATTAATATTAAAATTCAAAATTACCTTAAACTTTGTAAAGATAAATGTATTATTATGTTAATATTAAAGTTAAAAAATAGATAAATATATTAATCACACTAAATTAATATTAATTCTTATTCATTTCATTATTACATGATCTTTCAAATATATAAACTCATTAATTTTTATTCATTCATTCCATCATTCCTCATTATTCTTAAACTTTGCAAGAATAAATGGATTAATATGTTAAAATTAAAGTTACCAAAAAAAAGTAAATATATTAATCACACTAAATTAATATTAATTATTATTCATTCCATTGTTGCATGACCTTTCAAATATATAAAAATATTAATTCCTATTTATTCATTCCATTATTCCTCATTAATGCGATAACAATTATCAATTTTCAATAATAAAATTGAAAGTAAACCATTACTATTAAAACTCAAAATTGCTTTAAACTTTGCAAAGAATAGATGCTTTAATATGAATATATAAACTCATTAATTCTTATTCATTCATTTCATTATTCCTTATTAATCAGAAATTAATTATCAATTTGCAATAATAAAATTGAAAGTAAACTATTACTATTAAAACTCAAAACTGCCTTAAACTTTGTAAAAATAAATTCATTAATATTAATATGTTAATATTAAGTTAAAAAAAAAGTAAATATATGTTAATCGCACTAAATTAATATAATTGTGAAGATAAACTTTCTTTTAAAACTCATCTACTTTTATATATATAAAAATTACCTCTTTAAGTTATTTATATTCTTGAATTGATCATTCAAGAGTATATTCTAGTTGGCCAATCATGTCATGAATGGGTTAATAAAACTAAGGTAATTTGGGTTTAGGAGTTAAGAGGATCAATCTATCACCTAGACTTTCAATTAGTTAATTAAATTTAATATTTTTATTTATTTGATATTATCTATAATTATTAGACATATAAACAAAAAAGATTATTATTATTACATAATCATTAGATAGTAATAATAATTAATTAAATAATTAATAATTATTTTAATATAATTAAATAAAATTGAATTGAATAACATACACCTAATCACAAGAAGAAATCAAGTATCAAACTTTCATTCATATAAATTGCACATTCAACGATCAAATTTTTAGTGGCTATTTTTTTTTAATCTTAAATGCTCTTATTTCATATTGTGAATTTGAATTAAATAAATGATTATTGAGAGTGATTCCTTTCTTGCAACGGCACATTAGGTGAATAAGGATGATAACATGGCATAAAAAATATTGAATGTGTTTAATATAACTGATGTGTCGAATCTATTAATTTCATTACCTGGTGGTTCTTAACTTATTATTATGCAATAATGATAAATGCTTTTTAATTTTTTTTTGTAAAAGACAGTTTTTCCAACTTTGTTAGCTCTATATCTGACCATGCTGTAGATTTTGACGATGCCAAAATTGATATCAACACCACTCGGAGAAGACGATGGAAAGAACACCAGAAAAGAAAAATAAAAAAATAAAAAAACTATGGAGCAGCAGAGAAGCATGAGCTGTAGAGTAGCTATGGACTCCTCCAAAACTCAAACGAAAACGCAAACCTTTATTCTCAAACACAGTATGGTTACCTTTGCCAAAATAATATATCCAGCCATTTTCATCTATATTTATTGATTCAATCAAAATCTTTTAGGGGTTGTTTGGAAAGAGGATTTTGGAGGAGGAGAATTTAAATTTATATTTTAAATAAATATATTAACAAAAATTTAATATATTAATGATGTATTTATTATCATAAATAATATATAATTTAAATTTAAAATTAAAAAATATGTCATCCTCTTTCTTCTTCTCCAAAAACTTCCTTTTAAATATATCCTTAGTTATTTCTCAATTAAATAATTTATTTTTCTAAATATTTTTTTATTAAATATCATATTTTTTAAATTAAATTTAAATATATTAATAGTGTAAAGACTTTTTTACCCTTTCACATAATCATAAATTGTTATGTTAAAAAAATTTATTTATAGAATAATTAATATATATTTTAATTGATTGTCAGTGTAAAAATATTTACACCAGTAATGCATCAAAACCAAACTGGTTTTTCTTCTTCCATTTTTAAAAATTTGAAATTAGTCTTCGTATATATTTTTTTCTGTTCCCTTACAATCTTTTTGTTAATGTTTTTTCCTTTCTCTTAATAATAAATATTAAATAAAAAATTTATAATATTTAAAGAATTAATAAAAGTATCAGGACATTTAAGAGACTAAATGTGAAAGAAAAGATGCTGCTCAACAAAAGATATTATATGAGAAAGCAAAATATTACAAAAGATTGTAATACAATTTAAAAAAAATATAAAACTAAATAAAAATTGCAGTATTTGAAAGAATAAAAAATATAGTTAAATCTAGTTCTTTGAAAGATTAAACTGAAAAAAATTATGATTTAGCAAATACTTAGAGTATGTTTATTTTCTTTTTTTTAAAAGAATTTAGATAAAATATAATATAAATTTCTATTATCTTTTATTAAAAAAAACAAATATACTCTTAAAATCTACTGGTATAAACACCAAAATAGATTCGAATGATTGGAGGGCTAAACCCAAACAAACGACAGAGCTACTATAGGTAAGACTAATAACACAGTGGTAAAATGAACCCCTCGAGTGTTTGAAGATTGAGGTGAAACTACTTAGTGTATTTATGTCATTTGATTTATTGTCCATGCATCACACGGGCTCATATACTTGTTAAAATAACAAATCAGATCAAATTTATTTCCAACGTGAATTGTTAATTGTTAAGATAAACAAAACAAGGACTCTACGATTCCACCAGTAATTTATTTAATTGATGTACTTCTTAATTTTTTAACAGATTTATTTGGTTCTTAGTTTAACAATTAATTACTTCTAAAGTTGATTTGTCAGATCAACATGTCTTGATTAAATGAAATTATTTATAAGTTTATTTGATAAAAATAAAATTTTAGTAAAGAAATACATTTGTCTTCTATTTTATTTATAAAAACAAATACTCAATTTACTAATACTAATAAAAATAATTATATGTCGTAAACTTATAATCTATTCCAAAATGCTCACAGTATTAATTGATGTCTTACATATTAAATAAATAAATAGCAATAAATAAGTAATTTGTTAACATAAATCTTACAATAATTAAGAGTATAAAAATATTTTAACAATTAATATATTAATAAAAAGGTCTGTATTCTTAGAATTAAGACACTACAAAATATTGATAGTTATTTCTTACTAAATACTTAAAATAATATTACACTAACTTTGCAATTTTTCATATACTATTTGAAACAATGTTTGATGTTTCATTGAATAATACACTATTTATTTTATCAACAAAATATTTAATATTTAAACAAAAATGATAAAATTTTAAATCAACTAAAAAAACTTTATAAAGTATAATTACTTAAAAAAATTTCTACAAAATTAGCTATATATATATATATCATGTAATTTTTTTTTCATATATAATTTTATCTATATTAACTAGTAAGTTAATTTTGTTAAATGTTTCTAGTTCAACGAGCTAACTTAACAATTTTTAATTAAAATCAGCAATTTTAAATTTTAATCAACTTATTAATATTTTTTTAACAAACTTATCCTATATTACAAGACTCAAGTAATGTAATATAATATAAACATGACACAATTTTAATTAATTTTTTTTTTGTAGTTTTATGTATCTTGTATCTTTTCCATCTTAAAAAATAAAATAAAATTAATGACACTAAAATTTATAATAATAATTTTATAAATTTAAAATAAAATTAATTTTTAAATATATTAATTGTTAATTTTATATGTTTATTTATTTTAAAATTTATGCTAACAAGATACTTACTTTTTATTCATACAAGTAAATATTTTCATTTAAGACATCAATTAATACTGTGAATCGTTTTGGAATAAATATGACATATTTGCTTTTTATTAGTATCAATGAATTAAATATTTATTTCTTATAAATAAAATTAAAAATAATATTACATAAATTAATGATTTTTTAATATAATAATTGATAAATGAATGATAATATAAAAATATTATAGTATATTTAAATTAAATTTACAATTAAAAAATATGTCTTTTTATAATTTTTTTATAAAAATAATTGTTAATATTTTTTTATTAAATATAAAAAATAAATACTCCTCTCTAAATGCATTAATTATCAAATTTCTTAGATATTTTTATTTATTATAAAATTTGTATTAAAAGGTATTCATTATTTATTCATAAAAGTAGATACAATCATTTATTTAATATATAACGTACTAAGTTTGACTAATACAATAAATATTTCTAAAATAAAAGATAAATTAATGTGATATAATTATTTTTTATAAATTAGTTACTTATTTTTTACAAATAATATTAGAAATAGTAATATAAAATATAATAAATTAAGAGTTAAAATTAAATTCAAAATTAAAAATTGATTTTACACTTAAATAACATAGATCAACCCTTCCTTTTATATATATATATATATATATATATATATATATATATATATATATATATATATGTGCACAGAGACTAAGAAATTCAGACAAGACAAAGACACTACAAAAACAAAAGGGGTTCGTTCCGGCTGTGGACGAACAACCTCTCTTCGAATTCGATTCTGGTAAGTCCCTTTCTCCACATTGCATCACATCAAGCTTTTCATTTCACTCACTCTTATCGCTCTGTTCTCAACTTCGCATTTTCGTCCTACAACGCCACTTGATTCTCTTTTTCACTCTGCGCTTAAAACAGATCTATTCTTATGCTTAGATTTCTGATTGGTATTAATTATGCGTGTTTTCATGTTGCGTTTAGATGTCTAAAGATAATGACTTGGAAAATCCAACTACTAAGAACCCCAGTGTTCAGAAAGGTCCGAATTTGAATTTGAATGTGAATGATGGTGGGAGAAATTGGTACACTTCATTTGTGCATCAAGTTTCAGTGTATGGTGTAGCTGCTGGGTACTGTTTATCTGCATCTTTGCTTTCCATAATTAATAAATGGGCTGTGATGAAATTCCCTTACCCTGGAGCCCTAACCGCTTTGCAGTATTTCACCAGTGCCGCAGGGGTTTTTCTTTGCGGCCAGCTTAAGCTCGTCGAGCATGACCGCCTTGATTTTATGACAATGTGGCGGTTTTTGCCGGCGGCTATAATATTTTACCTATCACTTTTCACTAATAGTGAGTTGCTCCTCCATGCCAATGTTGACACTTTCATTGTGTTCCGCTCGGTTGTTCCCTTGTTTGTTGCGGTAGGGGAGACGCTGTTCTTGCACCAGCCGTGGCCGTCGGTGAGGACGTGGGCCTCTCTGGCCACTATATTTGCCGGCAGTGTGCTTTATGTTGTTACAGACTATCAGTTTACATTCATGGCTTATAGCTGGGCGCTGGCTTACTTGGTTAGCATGACTATTGATTTTGTTTACATAAAGCATGTGGTTATGACCATTGGTTTGAACACTTGGGGTCTTGTGCTGTACAATAATCTTGAGGCTCTTCTGCTTTTTCCGCTGGAGTTGCTGATAATGGGTGAGCTGAAGAAGATTCAGCATGAGATCAGTGATGAGTCTGACTGGCACTCTTTCGAAGTTGTTTTGCCTGTGGGATTGTCATGCTTGTTCGGTCTGTCGATATCTTTTTTCGGATTTTCTTGCCGCAGGGCAATTTCTGCGACGGGATTTACTGTCCTTGGTATAGTTAATAAGTTGTTGACAGTCGTGATCAATTTGGTAATATGGGACAAGCATTCAACATGGGTGGGTACAGTGGGGCTTTTGATTTGCATGCTGGGTGGGGTTATGTATCAGCAATCAACAAGCAAGCCGAAGGCTGCTGAAAAAGCAAGTGCAAAGGAAAATGAAGAGGAACAACAAAAGTTGCTTGAGATGCAAGTCAATTCAGAGACAAACATCAATAATAATGAAGTCAATAAATCAAGGGAGGAAAGCTGAGATTATTTTCATGTAGGGCAAATTTCAATTTCCTTTCAAGTGTATCTTTGCTTCATAGGAATCTGATATAAATTATATTCTCATTTTTTCTAATTGTTAATTCATGATTCTTTACAAATGCTATGCCCTTGAATGGAAAGCCTATTGGTGTTCTGGTATGTAGGGGTTTGTTTACTTTTAGTAGCTGTTATATAAAAGCTATTATCTTAGTCTTTGATAGATAAAATGCTTTTCAATTTTGTCCTTTCACTTTTAAGCTTTTCAACTTAATCATTTTATGTTTCAAATATCATTTTGTTCTTTTCTTGCTCCAAGATCCTTCAAATTCAGACTGTAGTAGAATTTAAATATCGTTCTCTCTTCAATCATGTGTTTTTCTGAGTCTATTTTTCTTATCAGGGATCTGATGTGTTTATGTGCATGGGAGTATTTATGCAGCATCTCCATGATTGTAAAATTATTTGATAGGGACCTGACAATTATTATTTTCTTTAAGGAAAATTCTTGATTCCTGGCTATTATTAGTGGCACCCTTGACCAGTTAATAGGGTAATTGTTTATGTTAGATGAATCTAGATACAGAATTAAATGTTCAATGACTTCAATCACTTTGTCTTTTGGACAGGAGTACCACTTATTAAGGTTACAGTAATGATTTCTAAAACTCTGCTAGAACATTTAGTTCCAAAAGGATCTGTGTATTCCTTCCGGTGCACATATATTTATTTGCTCTGTAATGGCAATCAATGATTTGTAAAGGTTCCCTTTGGTGTCATTTCTTCCCACAGTGCTTTATGACTGTATGGATACTTGTTTTATGCATAGGGTTGTCCTTTCAGATAAGATTTTGGAAAGTGGGAAGGATAAAGATTGGGTCTTACCCGCTCAACTTAGTTCTTACACAATCAATTCTAGGTCAGTTAATAATATCAATGAATTTGACTTATTTTATACAACCAAAACTCTTAGTCTTATAGGAAAATTTCCATATTTCCTTTTTAAGTTTATGCCTGTTTCACAGGTATTTGCTATAAATTATACTCTCATTTATTATAACTGTTAATCCAGGATTGATGATTTTTCACTTTTTTACCATTGTATCTCCATGAAAGGCAAGCTTATTGGTTTTCCTGTACGTAGGATTAATTATCTTTTCTTGCTACTGATACCTCAAATCCAGACTGAATAAATTGTAATATTAATCTCAGATTCAAATCATGTGTTTGAATCTGTTTTTTTGTATCAAGGATATAGCATGCATGAGACTGTGTTTATGAAGTGATAATAATTGGTTTGATATCAACTATCAATACATTTGACATATTCTAATACAACTGAAACAACTCCTAGACTCTTGCAACTTTGAGAACAAACAATGCATCTTTGTATGAGAGGGGATTGAGTAAAGAAGACAGATATTTCTCTCCTCAACATTCTATTTCTTGCTTCCCTAAAGTTCTCAACTCTGGTGTCACCTTCAACATTTCATCTCCAGTTTAACAGTATAAATTTTGCTCCAACTGCTTTCATCTATATTTGTATATTCACTTTCATTCTGCAATATTATTGTCTTTTGCTTTGCAATTTCATTTCATTTTTGTGTGAGATTAGGTTATTGCTGAACATTGCTTCATGGTTACTGAAATCAATTCCTTTACTCTGAAATGCTTATCGAATTGGTTTCCTCAGTCCTGTACCAATAGCTTTGGGATCCTCTTGATTAGACAGTAGCTCCTGTTATTGTAGTTAGAATTAGAATATACATATGTACATACGCATAGACATACAAAAAACATACCATATGATTGCTTTGACTTATGTCTTTTTTTGTTTTATGCACAGTTTCACTGAGACCCAGATTGGGTAAACTTCTAGAGAAGTCCTTAGGAGAAAAAACATTGCTCAAGTGGATGGGACCTATAAGAATGAAAAGAAAGTGTTGATGGTGTATGCTAGGAAGAACAATAGGGAAGTGATGCAAAACAGTTAGAATTGTTACAATGGATTAGGCAGTTTAAGCTGTTAAGTCAGGCAGTTGAGGTTATGAAGAGTAGGGGCTTAGCATAGATAATTGGAGAGGGGGTCAAAGAGGCATGTATTCAGACTGAAGTTTGGGAAGTGAGCAAGGGGCTTAGTTGTAAAAGGAGGAAATCTTTCTTAGAATTGAAAGATGGTGCTTGCAAAGAACCAATCTTGGAGACGGGAGAAAAAGTGTATATAGAGAGAATGAATGACAGAGCCAAATTGCAATACACTCAAATTCATTGTTGAACATAACATAGAAATGATGCAAACGCACTCCCAACGACTTACACTTGCTGTTATAACAAGTATTATTCATAAACCTAACTTGCTGACGGAGTAACTAACTAAATTACTAACCAACTAACTATTAACAAGCATGAGTTGATATCCTCTGTTTCCATTTCTTAAAGGAAGTTCACTCTGGTATCTGTCTGAGATTCAGTAAACCATTACAGTATTGTGCACACTTTCTCTTTACTCTGTCTATCAATTCCTTTCTAAAACATAAGAGCTTTATCTTATATTCAAGCCCTCTTTCTCTTTATTCTGCAGTTTTGATGCATGCCCACAACTCAAGTTATTTCTCGAGTACGTTGCAGGGTTTGAAATTGCACATTGTCGATGCTTACCCCTTAGCTTTAACAGAGTTGCCTCATGAGAACTTGAAATTCTTCCTTTATTGTCTTTTTCATGCAAACTTACTCATACAGCAAGCGTGTGAAGTGGGACGTCACTGAAATACAACACTAGATCAACTCTTAATGTTTATTGATCTTTTTTTTCGTAGAATAGCTCTTATGCTTTCTCCCTTGCCTCTCTTTTACTTTCTCATACCAGGAGGGAGAGTGGAGGCAATTGGGTAAAATATATTTTATAAAATGAGTAAAACATTTATTTATTTTTAATTAAAAGATGTTCGAATAATGTTTTTTATAAGTTATATTTTTTGAATAATGTAAAATTCATATTGCTTAAAAAATATCAACAAATTAAAATTCTTTATTAGGGATGTGCAAGAATCCAAAACCAACAAAATTGGGTCAATTGACAGTCCAAAAGTGCTAATCGAGCGGTTCAGAGCGCGTTCGGGTTGATATGGGTTAAATGCTTCAGTTTGTATTGGTTGGTTTTGTCAGATTCAAGTGGTGATACTCTTATTCGAAGCTACCTGAACCAATCGAAGTGCTGAGCCCCAATTCCAGTGGCAAATGCCTTGCTAGAATGTGTTGGGGTTGTTAGGGAGAAATGCAAATTTTCCTTAGTTATAAATTTGCTCGAAAAGATAATCAATAATCGTCAAGGTTTATTATTTTTTCTCAAAAACATCTAGACCACAAAATCTATTAACCATAAGATTTTTAGTCGAAATGAATAATTGGACAATATTTTACATAAATTTTTGGATAAATTATGGTAAAAAAAACATAATTTTTTAGTCACAATAAACATTTCAACGAGGTCTAAGAAACATGAATTTTCAGTTAAAAAAATGACGTTTTCCCGAGTTTTTAGATAAATTATAGCAAAAAATATACATATAATTTTTTAGTCGAAATGAAAAGACATTTCGATGAGTTTTTATGAAAAGATAATGATAAAAAATATATGAAATTTTAGTTAAAGTGAAGAAATATTTTTTTTTAGATTTTAAAAAAAGTTATGACCCAGAAAATATGATTTTTTGGTAAAAAAAATATGATTTTTTTGACATGATTTGGTAGCTTTATGAATGATTTGCAGATAAAATTATGAAGATACAAAAATGTGAAGAGCTAGTCGAACAAATGAGTTTTAAGATGCTTTGAAAAAAATTACCTTCATTAACTTTGGTTAAAAATTAGTTGAAGAATACTTTGTCAAAATTGAATTAAGCTATTTTTAAATAAAGATTCTTAAGTACACAAGCTTTAGAGAAGATGAAAGACTTATGTTGAAATGCCAGATGTGCTAAGAGTGATTATATACGAAAGCATGCAACAAGGATAATGGATAGAATATGACAGCAGGATAACGTTTTTAGGTAATTAAGTTGAATAACAATGTGTTCTTAATCAATTATATTATATTATATTATATTTATAAATAGTACTTTATTTCATAGTTTTGAGTGACGATTTTTATACAAAACACTAACACTCAATATTTCTACATTTTCAAAGTTCTACACTAATTAGACTTGATAACCAAAAGATCTACGATTTGTTATGTTAAATATTAAAAGTTTTATGTTTAATTCTATAATTTAATTTCAATCCAATTGTTCATTTCAATTTTTTATTGTTTTATTTTAAGATTTTTTGCAATCTTTATTCTATTCTTTCTATTTTTATTTTCTGCCTCTCTTATTACGTTAATTGATTTAGGATTCATTTAATTAAGAACAGTTTATAAAAAAAAAAAAACTTATTAAAATAATTAAAAATTTAATCTCAAATTATTTTTAAATTTATTTGTTTACTAAAAAATTCTACGTAGACAAGTGCCCAGTCTAAAATTAAAATTAGTCCAGAAAAGAGAGAAAGAGTAACCCTAATTTCATTTTCGTTTAGGTTACCTCTCCTCTTCTTTATAACGTTGCGTCACTTCGATCATCCTCCTATTCTCTTCTTCGTTTGCGCTGCCACTTCTGTCGTTTTAAGTCATCATCCTTCTGTTTGGGATAAGGAAAATTTTCTAAGTTAAAAATCATCTTGAAGGAAACTACATTTCAACAAGTTTTGAGGATCAAGAAGGAGCCAAAGATAAACCTGAACATAAGAGAAATTTGGAAGATCTTTGGTTTTAATTAAAAGGGACACATTTCGAGCTATTTTAAGAGATTTTTGTCACATTGTTGATTTTTCTCTAAACTGCTTGAAAGACAAGAAAATATTCTAAGACCACAAAACTAAAGGCTTTTTCGAGAAGTTTTGAGGAGTTTTTAAGTCACTGACACCAAAAACTACTCGAAAAATAGAACTGGCAAGAAAATATTCCAAGTCCACAAAACTGATGATTTTTCGAGGAGTTTTGAGGAGTTTTCAAGTCTCTGACACCCAAAACTGCTCGAAAAAACAGGACTAACAGGAAAATATTCTAAGTCCACAAAAAACTGATGGCTGTTCGAGGAATATTTGATGAGTTTCCAAGTACCTAACACCCAAAACTGCTCGAAAAGCAAGAAGTGGTAAGAAAATATTCTAAGTCCACAAACTTGGCTGAGCTCCAGATTTCCTCCAGAATTGCTCGAAAAACAAGAAGTGGTCAGAAAATATTCTAA